ACTGCAACGAGACGTGAGACAGGGAGATATGATATCTCCTATCAGGATATTTTCAAGCTTCTGGCCTGGAAAGGACTTGGCATCAACATCAATGGCGAGTACCTAACACACCTTTGATTTGCCGATGATATAGTTGTCATGCCTGAGACCTTGGGAGACCTGAACACAATGCTCGAAGATCTCAGTAGTGTTTCCCAAAGAGTGGGTCTTAAGATGAACATGAACAAGACGAAGATCATGTCGAATATCCATGTTGTACCTGCTCCAGTTAAAATTGGGAGTATTTCACTCGAAGTTGTTGACCATTATGTATACCTGGGGCAGACAGTCCAGTTAGGTAAGTCCAACTTTGAGAAAGAGATCTCTCGTCTAATCCAGCTCGGATGGGCAGCGTTTGCGGAACTACAAAAAATCTTTGCGTCCAAATTACCTCAATGTCTCAAGACGAAAGTCTTTGACCAGTGTGTGTTGCCAGTGATCACATACGAATCAGAAACGTGGTCCCTCACTATGGGCCTATGAGGCTCAGAATAGCTCAGGATAGAAGGCTCAAGATCACTCAGCAGGCAATGGAGAGAGCGATGCTCGGTATTTCCATACGTGATAGAATCAGAGATGAGGAAATCCGTAGGAGAACTAAGGTAACCGACATAGCTCGAAGAATTGCTCAGCTGAAGTTGCAGTGGGCGGGGCACATAGTTAGGAGAACCGATGGCCGTTGGAGCGGAAAGGTTTTTCAATGGCGACCGCGCACCGGACGACGCTCAGTGGGTAGGCCCCCCACCAGGTGGACCGACGATCTGGTGGAGGTCGCGGGAGGCCGATGGATACGGGCAGCGCAGGACCGAACGTCGTGGAGATCGTTGGGGGAGGCCTATGCCCAGCAGTGGGCGTCGTATGGCTAAAAGGTACTGGGTGATAAATCTTTCATAGATTTATCATACATGGCGCTACGACTAAAAAGTCGTTGAAAAACCAAATACAAACCACGACGCAAGCACATAGAAAAATTCGTGAGGTCCGTTGGTTCGTTCCGTGGCTTAGTTGATATAGTGTCTGGCACGGTAAGAAGACGTCGGTTCGAATCCGACCGGATCGAAGGATTTTTTCTGAGTGTTCGATCTTTGTATTAATAATTATAACAAACCATTTGTGTTTGGGTTTGTTTGGAATATAAGCTATTTAAATCCCCTAAATAAATTGAATTACTATAGAAAGTAGTAATAACAATACATATATATATGTCGTCACGTCTGTCTCCACCGGGGTAGGCAGAGACTATGGACTAATAACTATAGACGTAGAAAAACATAGTTCCGTCTGTGACAGTAGATAGTACAGTCACAGGGTTTGCCGGAATTTGAAATGTGAAAAAGTAACGTCCGTAGGGGACAAAGTTTTATTCTAATATGATACATTCAAGTCGTTATCCAAAGAAACACAAACTCCGCCCTATCTACAAAAAGATGGATTTTGTTGCATCAAATCAAAATACAGGAAATATTCAAATAAAAAAACTCACCTTTTTCGCCGCAATAAAATAGCTAAAATAGTGAGTGCTGCCAAAGACAAAGCAGCACACAGAGCCAGCAGCAACGCCAATTCTCCGGCCGTTGCTGGGAATGGAGCGTCCACCTCTTCCGCATACCCGCCTTCCGATGGCGTCGTTATGAATTCATACACTTCCCGCGTCCAACCCGCTTCGTTCGACGCACGAACTGCTACACGATATCTTGACCCTGGTGTCAATCCTAAAAATCAGTGATAGTTCACGTTTCAAATCAAAAGTAAATCATAATTTCAAGATCTATAATAATAATAATAATAACGCACACACTCAACATAGCCCCACACTAGGGAAACCCTGTGTCGCGGGTGCCATGGACACACACATAGACAACCACAAATTACACCCAAACTCACGAGAGAAATAAATGTAGGCCATACAAATATATCTCCCGGCCCGGGAATCGAACCCGGGGACCTCTGCGTGGCAGTCCGGTATGGTAACCGTTGGGCCACGGAGGCAGTTCTATATCAAACTTTTCTAAACACTTACCACCCATTATAACTTCTCCCCCAACAGGTATATCTCTAGCACCAGCAGCACCTGAACCAGCCCACTCGAGCTTTAAAGCCACGGGTCCACATCCCCCATCTCCCCACACACTTGTATCAAATTTTGCATGAGTTGTGTTTGCCTGTATCCATCTAGAATCTGGAGGTGCGGTGGGAGGTCCTCCAGACGTTCTCACAGCAATCTCAGAGCCTGGAGGTCCTCCAGCAGAACCGTAAACTCTATACGCTGATCCACATCGCAAACCCGATAAGGTTACTGTACCAGGATTTGCTGCCTGTGTCCTCCATTCTCCCTGAAAAAATTGGCTAATGAGAACTCATACAGTTGAATACAATTGAACAATTCTATTCAATCGTATGTCAGTACTTCATGAAAACGATAATATAAATGCTAATAAAAAGCTGTTCTTACATCTTGAGCAGTTAGCCGCCAATGTAAACTATAGGTCTTGGGAAGGGCATGACCAGGCGTCCTTGGGGTAGGCCTTAACTCCAATTCTAATTCTCGAGGTCTCGCTTCTAGTAATGCTAAACCCGGAGGCGAAGGTGGCCGAAGAACCACAACTCGCCAAGTAGCAGAGTCGGAACCGTGAGGATTTTCAACTACGCAAGTGTAATTATCTGTATGAGCTAGTTCTAGACCTAAAAATAACGTCGACATGTTATTACTTTTGCGCTTGTTATATTTCAACAATGGTCAAAAAAATAAAAATAAACTGACCTCTTAGTAGCAAAGCATCACCGTCTAAATGAAATGGAGGTCGAGGATGTAAAGGATTTCCACCACGCAGCCATCTTTTAGCTGGTGGTGGTGCTCCTCCTACTACACATCGCAGTGATAAAGATCCTCCTGCAGCTCCAACTATGACGCCACCAAACGAGGAGATACGCGCCGGAGCTAAGGAGACAGAAACCATTAGAAGTGTCTTGTGTAGTAAAAGACAATGATTCAGATACACGTTTCATGAGCAGTCTTACCCAAAGAGCTAGTCTGACATGCAACTGCAACTGAAGGTGGACCTTCTCCTACAGCAGTGGATGCTCTAACCCATGCTTCGTAAGTTCTGCCAGCACGAAGACCTCTTAATGATTTCATGCATTCTACTGTACCACCATCTGCTTCTGAACACGTGTTCACTCTTGTTACATTTGGTTCTTGTGATCTAAGGGACATGTCACATTTAGAAAACTGTATTCATAGGTACAAAAATTCAAGGAAAATGTTAATAATGCGAAACTCACCCAGACAGATCCTTAACATATAAGTTATAATGTGTCAGTCTTCCGTTAGGTTCTGGCGGAGGCAACCAAGATGCTCTCAAAGAGCGTTCGCTTAAAGCAATCAATTTCATACCACCAGGAGCGCTTGGCACTGGTAGAATAAAAAAATATTATATTAACATTTGCCTAGTAATTGACAAAGTTAATAAACCATGTCAAACGAAAATTATGAGACACTAACCATCTTCATCGGTTCTGCACACTTGAGCAGCGGTCAAAGGGCCATCACCAGCGGCATTATGGGCTCGTACTCTTATTTCGTATTCAGCATACGAAGTTAACCGTGACAAAGTCGTCTCTTCACCCTGAAATTTATTACATTGTTGAAGAGACGATTCGGTGACAAAAACATATTTATGCTAGAGGTATGTTCGAAAATTTGTATCTGTATATAAGGTAAATAAGGTATGTATAACTCAGCTTTATATGTTTTACCTGTACACGTATATAGGCATCTTGGCTAGGCTGTAAAGGATCAGCATCTCTTCTAGTATATTGCAATGTATAATGAGTAATGAGACCTCCTCGAGCATCGAGAGCTGGCGGATGCCAGGATAACCTCAACGACGTTGGTCCACTCGATGTGCACGTCAGACCTTCAGGACCTCCGGTTGGCGCTATTCAAAGAAAGAAAAAATCACTATCGCACCGTCTTGTGCCAATTTTAAATGATGGAAATAAAATATTGAAATCCATAAAATTGCTATTCAAATTGTAAACAAAATGAAGATGGACAGCGTAAATTTATTCAGTTCGGCATCGTTAGATTGAGCGAGCTGATTGAGCATTGTACAGGAACGTCCACAACTTTGTTGTCTTCAATTCGATTATGTCATTCAGAGCTATAAAATGGAAACGAAGTACCTAACCATCGAAAAGTGCTATCAATTTGTACAGAACCGTTTGACCTAGATCGAAAAGGCCACGGTCCAATTAAGCCATTTTGCATTTTGATGGGAAAATTTACGATCGCCGCTTCCCGTCGATAGGCTGAATTTTATTTACGCGCCACGATGACAAAACTAAGAGCCTTTGTTCGATTTTTCAGTTTTGTGAATATTCTTGTCACGAATATTTAACAGCCGTTCAACTTATTCTGTAATAAGATCTCGACACGCTGATGTACGGAAAAATTTGGATTTTATTAATAATGGGAGATTTTCTCTGTTCTTGCTAGTATTAAATAAGGATGCTTTCTGAGGATTTTGGCAAAAATAGATTGAATTACCTCAACACGTGATACAGAGATATTATAGAGTTTCGCGTTTATTGCTTTCTAGTTACCTATAGAATTTATTTATATATAGAAAGAGATTATAAAACGAATTTTGACTTCGACTAAGCAAAAATGGTGAGCTATGGCAATTTTACAAATTTATAAAAATAACTTAGCTTCAGCAAGAAATTAAATTAAACTTTCGGGTTTACTTCGTAATTAAGTAAATTTACTATTTTTTTATTTATTTACGACAACCAACAAGTCAATACATACAATTTTTGATTATACACACATCAAAAATGTCTAGGGATCAAGCATGTTTTTAAAGCCAACAACTGAAAACCCGGTTTTTTTAATAAAAAAAATTGTTAACCCTTTTACATTTTTTATTTCAATTTGAAAATAAAATTTACAAAAAAATCTTCTCTTTTCATTTCTCATCAAAATACCTCATTTTCAGTAATTAGAAAACAACGTGATTAATCTCTATACACGTTTGATGGGTATACAATTCAAATGGAGTAGTACAAGTGTTGCCACTACATGCAATAGTCAAATACAATTAATTATTTATATACATAATATAGTTTTTCACACTTTTAATTATATAATAATATGTATTTTAATTAATCAATATAGAAAAATATTATAAAATTACAAATAAGATGTTAACAAACGTATGTTAATAAAAATTAATTGTACAACTACATATATTGTATTACAAAGAAGACATGAAGTTTGGCAACTTCAGTTACAGCTCATGTAAAATAAATATAATAATAAATAAATACGAAAAACGTACTTAACTCGCCATTTTTTGCTTAGTCAGTTTCAAAGTTCGTTTTATAAATGTCAGCCTAAGCACAGTACAATAAGAACAAGTACAGTAACTCCGTACCCAATGACAGCTCGGCTTGTATATGCGCGCAACCATGGACGGACGCATACATTCGCATAATAATGAACCGCGCGTTGAGACGACCTGTGTAGTTAAAACGTTAGCGCGATAGCAAATGTTACAAAACGTGTCACGTTGACAGTCAGAAACATTGGTCTGTCAAAGGTAAATACGTTCCCTCAACGATACATAGGTATGTAGTTCTAACGTTAAAATATTAGCGCGATTACAAATGTACACAACGTGTGACTTTGACTTTTTTATATTTAGTTTAGTTTTGGTATTTACGTTGGTACTTAGCGCGATTGGCCTCCAGTGTTGTGCAATGATAGAGCACCACCACACGGCGCGTGGTGGGCGCGCAAACATACAAGCAGCGCTGCGACTCTAAATATGGAGTTACCCTTGTTCTTATTCTACTATAGCCTATAGGAGATGCCACACGGGCGATGGGTCGGCGTTGCGTAGTCGTCACAACTACGTTGTACTACGTATAAACAAATCAGAACAACATACCACACAATGCGTTGAAACAGCGCACGTCGACGGAACACCTCATGTGGCACTCAGTCCATTGAAATAATAGCGTTGCGACGACGCAACGCAACGGGGCAACACCCGTATGGTATTACCCTTTAGGGTATTAAACCGTGGCCCGTAAAAGGTGTTTGCAAGTTTTAATGAAAATAAGTACTCACGTGACTCCAAGGTATGTCGAAAATGTGGCGGTGAAAGAGGCCCTGTACCAGCAGCATTGTAGGCTCGTACTGTCACTCCGTATCGCGTTGCTGCCTTCAGACCTCTGATTGTGGTACTGGTAGCGTCTGCACTTGCCCCACTTTCGGACCCTGGTCGCTCATTAGACCCTTTCCCCTCCTCTGACACCTCCCACCATCTGATCGTATACCCTAGTAATGTCCCATGCCAAGTTTCCCTAGGCGGAGCCTACAAAAGTATCGACATACACTTATCAAATGTAAGAAGCGAGATTTTGCAAATATTTTTCGTAGAGGATTCTAATAACGAAATGAAAACACGGTGTGCAAAGTTAAATGATTAATGAAATATATCATCGTCAACTCATTTATACGTCCCACTGCTAGGCACTGGTCTCCTCTCAAGCGAGGGTTCAGACTATAGTCCGCCACAGTGGCCCAATCCGGGTTGGGGACTTCACGCGTTTTCTGAGGGTTGTGAACATGCAAGTTTCATCGCGATGTTTTCCTTCACCGAAAAGCTCATGGTAGATTTCAAATTAAATTTCGCACATAAATTCCAAGAAACTCAGAGGTACGATCCCGCAATCGAACCCACGGCCTCTCCTTGAGAGGCGGTACGTCAAACCATTAGGCTACCAAGGCTTTTTTAATGAAATATACAGTGTTTAAATAGGACAGTATGGGAAAATTCGAAACCATAGAACATACAAGGAAACTGTCTTAGAAACCACTAATTTTTTTTTTGTAAAAACAATTTTAGCATAGTCAACTTTTTGGTCAAGAGTGAGTTATCCATAAAAATGAATAAAATTCATCAAATTTTTTTTAGAGCTGATCGACTCAGTTCATGAAGGGTCATTTCATTGTATGGGACGAAAAATATCGGAACTGCAAAAGTTTCATAAAATATTTTTTCATACAAAATTAATAATGTTAGACAACTTTCTTTAAAGCAATAGACTCAGTTTGTTATACGATGACTTTATTGTATCGGAAGAAAAAATCGGGAGAGCATAAATTAGTCACATTTAATAAAAACTTTCAAAATGAATAATATTTTATTAAAGAACTTCAGCTGTCCTGATTCTTTTCTTACAATACAATAAAATCATTCTTATAAGAAGCTGAGTCTTTCAGCATTAAAAACAAATTGTCAATTATATTCATTTTGTATAAAAATATTTTATGTAATTACTACTCAAACTACTATGTCAAAATTGTTTTCACAAAAAAAGACTTAATGGTTCCTAAGACAGTTTCCTTGTATCTTCTATGGTTTTGGATTTCCCCATAGTGTCCAAAAAAAACACTGTATAGGAGAATAAAAAATACAGGTTACAATCGAAGTTTGTCGTGAATGAAACAAACCGACAGAGTTCAAGACAGTTTTTCTTCACGAGTTAATACAAACACAAAGTTTAAATTCAGATTGAAATGAATGAGGCAATCGGATCAGTTTTATATTACTTAATTTATTATTAGCAGTTTAGTCATCTCTATTATTTCGTAGAAAAATTTAAAGTGTATTAGTAAATTCCAACTTAAGGTAATATAATTGTGACTCATTTATAATCAAAAACCGACCTCAAAAGTTTGTGGAATTACTTCTATTTGCCAAATTTGGTTGAAATAGGTTGACGAAAAGTAGATGAAGTCCTATAAACCGGATTCAAGTCCTAATCACCCTTAAAGGTAGAATACTTTCTTCAATGGGACCACTATTGAGGTACCCCCTTTTCAACAAAAAAGAATCATCGAAATCGATTCACGAATGTCGGAGTAATCCCGTAACATACACAAAAATAAAATACAGTCGAATTGAATCTCAACCTTTTTTTGAAATCGGTTAAAAGTACACATTCATACACAATACATATTCACATTTTCCTTGATTTTATAGTAAGTGATGAGACAACACTATTATATTGCGAAGGTGAATGCCAATGACGGGAATCGTTTTCCAATTCCCATTCATTGGAAAAGCTTCAGTAATGGTCTACAAAAGATTGACATACAATAAACAATGAGAGTGGAAATGGCATGACAAAATGAAAATGACTCTACCTGCCATGACACGTGCAGCTCGCGAGGCCTGAGTGCTCGCACGGAGACGTCCCGCGGCGCGCCACCCGGGGCTGTCGCAAACACATTGGTGCATTAGCTACACTTAATTTATCTACAAATAGTCACTCTATCAACACATCACAACATACATCTTGGAAATTAAACTATTTTTGTTTCTTCAAACAAAGTAACGTTTCAGGCCACAGACTACATAAATACCAGTGTTTCAGGCCCTTTACAGGTCCCATGGTAGTCAACCTAACTTAGTAAAGTCTAAAGATGGTAGGTACCCTAATTTTCACTATAGTTAGAAAAGTTATTATCTAATATAATAATAATAACGCACACACTCGTAGTTCCGCACTAGGGAAACCCTGTAACGCGGGTGCTATGGATACACACATAGACAACCACATATTACACCCAAACCCACGAGACGAACAAATGTAGGCCATACAATTATATCTATCCCGGCTCGCGAATCGAAGCCGGGAGCCTCTGCGTGGCAGACCAGCATGGTTACAGTTCGGCCAGGGAGACAGTTAAAAATCTGAACACCTTATTTTTAATTTACCAAAGAACATTCCAATTTACGCTTCATTTTGCAAAATATTTAATTTTAACAAAATGAATTTTTACAATTTTATTTTTTAATTAAAAGGATTAGAAATAATTTAAAACATATTTGAAGTTAAGACTTTTTTTATTTCAGTGGCCTCTCGCAGCATCCAATAAAAACTCAGTTTCTAATGTGTTACAAGTTACAATCGCAAAAACATAACAACTAGAAATTATAAATAGATCTACTTATTTTTTGATTATTTTCTTTCATTTTATTTAATTTACTAACATACTTCTAACTTTTCAATTGTCTCTGACTGTGATTAAACGATTATTGATAAATTATTGATTGAAATATTAAAATGATAAATACATAATTATTATTAAAGAGCAAGTCTATGTATATATCACGTGACCATTGTTTATACACTTCTGAAAGTCTTATTACAAAATATATACAAAAGACAACAGACAGCCCTGTACGAATGTCATATTAAATGGGAGCGTATAATGTTAAAATTTTGGATATTTCTGGTTATATTTAAAAAAAAATTATTGGTGTCGATTTATTCATTAGACAACGTACTTTCGACATCAGTTTAAAGCTTTTTGATACCTCTTATATTTATGGAATAATCGCCTGGGTACACTTGACGATTACACCCTGTATACACACATCAAAATGATTAAGCACTTTTTTGCGTATTACTACTACATACCAAGTTTTTTAGTTACCTTTTCTAACACCCATGGATTTTTTTATAAATTTTATAATTCGAATTCGAAAATGAAATTGACCAAAGAAATTCATTGGTGTTAAATAAAGTTCATTAATAAAATCTAATTTTCGGTTTTTATAAAAAACGTGCTTGATCTCTAAATATTTCTGATCTGTATATAAACACTATATCAGTGCTTCTTATTTCTAAAAATTTTTACTGGTAATTCTTTACAAATAGTGGTACAACGGGCAATACTGTCAAAAAGTTGACAGATAATCAATAGAAGCCGTGACTGAAACGTCCACATAGAGCTTGAAAGACAAAATATTAATGGCAACTGTGACTGTCTCTCGCTTTACTAAATTAATCTGCACCAAACATTGAGGACTTTTTGGGTTTGCATGCAAATCTCTTTTCCTATTCTTGTCCGAGTAGTCGTAATTCCTAGAAAAACTTACGTAAAGCGCGTCGTCAGTAATTATTATTTAAACGAGTAACAAATATAACAAGAAAATTAATTAAGAAAGAATATAACAGAAAGACACATTTATTATACTCCACAAACCAGTTTTAATGTAAAACAACAAATTTATGTTTTAATAGCCGTAGAGCTATTTATGAAAGAGTTCGTCCAGGGTTATATTCTGCAGTAAAGTAAGCATTACTGCGTTCCGGTTTTGAAATGTAAGGATGCTGGTGAAATTACAGGCACATGGGACTTGTCCACTTAAGTCTCAGGGTGGCGGTCGCAGTGGCAGTGCCCCCAAATCTTTGTGATTTAAAGCACTCAGTGGCACAGCAACCGTTATGGATTGGAGAGTCGCTTACCACCAGGCGCACGACTTATTCGTCCCGTCCCTTGCTATCATAAAAAATAAGGAATTTTAGTATTAAGAATTAGGGAATAAGATACAAAATAAAACAGCACAAACAGAATACTTGTACTTGTAATAAAACGCAAGTACATTGGTGGAATGTGGCATATGGTATAAGCGGTCCTACGCAGCTATTGCTAAATTGGTATAGGGTCAAAGTCAAAGAATCATTTATTCCATTAATAAAATAAATATACACTAGAAAACATAATTTTTTAAGTTACTGCTCGTTCACTGTGCTGACTTCTCTTAGAAGAACGAGCAAGAAAATCTAGGGATGTTCTTTTTAAATAAACTTAAATGCTATGGAACACTTTGAATCGAATTTGTGTGGAATCTAGAGCCATCTTGTCCTTATCTAACACGTGGTCTTCAATTTTGTAATATGACTTTTTAGTTAAAATACTTTTAATGTTAGTTTTAAACTTAAGAAATGATAATTTTAATATATGCTCCTTAATCTTATTGTAAAAACGTATACAGTTCCATAAAAGAGTCGTTTACCTAAGTTAAACGAAAACGTCGTAATCATGAGTTTGGACTTAGTTCTAATATTAATATTACGGAAACAAAATATTCTTTCTTAATGAACTTATATATGTATATTTTTACGGGCATATAAACTATTTGAGTAAATGTACTATGATGCCACAGCCACGATACCAGTATCCTAAAATTTTCTCTGAGAGAAACCCGAGAATCTGAACGGTACAAGGGATCACGCACATCGCTTAATTTCAATAGCAACACCTGCTCAGTGACATATTGAGACGAGTATAAGTAAACGTAAATCAGTAGACAATAAGTCACATAAACTAATCGTGATAGTCAGTGACTGAAAAAAAAATGCAATGACACAAAAAACTTTGGAACGCACTTCATATTACTGTTCACGAAAGTAAATCGTTTATTTTCAAAATGTGAGTTAAGGAGCATTATATCCATCCACGATTCCATCCATATAGTAAATATTTATATAGTTTGTAATAATATAAAGTTTTTTTATTTATTCCTTTAAATCAGGCAATATTACACGTGTTATGTTATTCACACACGCTATTACATCATGTTATTGATACCGTTTTTGTATTACATAAGTTTTGTTTTGTTGTGCACGTAAATTTGTTATTTTGGTTATTGTGTCCATGCTTCGGTCCGCCAAAAGAAATTTCTTTTATAAATAAGCAAATCCTTTTGTTTTTATTTTCCATTTCTGAAATTTTATTTGTGTTTCTTTTTCTGTGCATTGGCGTATTGACATTTTCAAATAAATGAAATAAAAAAAATTAAATTATCATAAAGTAATTTTGTGTTATATATATGTATATATAATATTATCAATAAATTAATATTATCATTAAAATAAAACGAGCGCCTTTGTACGTTACTTAGTTAATAACTGATATTCATTACAGAGCAGATACGTACCTCATTAATAACACGTATATTCAGCAGCGTCGTTAAATTATCATTCGCATTGCCGCTACAATAAACTTCGATCAATGTGACGGGAATATAAATTATCTAACTTGTCATGTGTATGAGGCTCTTACCATTTCGTTAACAATATGTAGAGATAATTGATTTGCATGTTATAGAACCTATACTTGAAAACATTTTGTACACAAAATGTATAGTCAATGCGGGTATTTGTGGAGGTCTCATGGAGATTTACTAGATTAAGCAAAGCTCTATTACCGACGACTACTAAAAAGTAAAAAATAAAAATAATAAATTGACTGTAGCTCCACTAATAAATTAGTATTTTATAAATATATATCAAAATATATTGATGTATTCATATATGTATATGTATAACACACATGTGCTAGTAAATATTTTGTAACCACCATTAAAATTACTATTTATTTGTTGAAAATTATATAAAAACTTGGAACTTTTAAATCTAAAATCGCGAAATTTTTACAAACTGTCAGTCAGCCTTGTCCTTGGGGCCTGTAAAAAGCCAGAAACAGTGGTTTCATTAAAAACCAAATATACGAGATCTTATTCGAAAAAAAAATCTTTTACATTTGACAATCAGCTCCGAAAGTACAGAATAAAGGGCAGCACCCGTGCGATACGCTATCCGAGTTTGAAATTGTCACCCTCTCCTCGACTACATTCTTTTAGAGGCAGCTTTCGTTTTGAGGCAACTAAGTGTTGGAACGATCTTCCGCCGCCAGTAAAAATATGTAAATCGTCATATACTTTCAAGTGTAAGTGCAAGGGATGGCTGCTTAATCTACAGAAGACATCATGCTGTTGCTCGAAGGTGATGTAGGCTCTGTTACGCCATTGAAAATAATAAAAGTAGGATTATAATTGGAATTAAAGATGTACTAAATCTATATTTTTTCCAAATTCCATTCTCTGCTTGTTGTATTCTATGTACACAGTCAAATACACTTTGCTGCTAAGTGCAGTATGTTCGGTGGTCGGTACGTGTGTCATTTTAAGTTTTAAGGTTTGTTATTTATGTAGTAAACGTATATAGTGAGTGAGATACCCTCCTATTTATTTGTATATATATACATATATATTCGAAAAGATACCCGTCTCTATATGCTACGGTGTCCCCAGCGGCGAATACTTGCCAGGTGAAGCCTGAAAACCAGCAAATTGCTGAGGCTTTTTCCTTTTCTTGGACATAGATTTAAGAATTATTTTATCTTAAATATTGTTGTGTTTTCTGTTGAAGAATAAAGTCTTTTTATTTTTTATTTTTTATTTTAATAAAAAAATTACAAATTAGAATAATTCAAAAAGAGTCGTTTTGGCTTTCTTTCAGGGTACCAACAAGTTCTGTGCGTGGTGATAAGCCCGGCGTGTGCAGTCGTGCGCAGTCAAAAGCTCTTAAATGAAAGACTTGTATGAGCGCTTGCGCCGACGTCGACACACTCAGCGGTAGGCACTTATCGCGTAACCTTGAGCAAGTGACGGAGTCCTGCCTGTACTGTCAACCTTCAACATCGGAACGCTTTAACACTATATTGCTTGCAGGCAGAATTAGATTAGGTGGCATTACTTTCCAGGACGACCTCTCACAAGGACTCTAGAATTAGACATCACTATTTTTGGGTATCTATTACCCCGTTGACCTACTCGTTTAGTGGGCACAATGAAAAGGCGCCATTCCGCAAAAATCGTCTGAAAGCGTCGTACACATATTTATTTCGTGGTATGTGTAGCAAAACGAATACGTCAAAAGTTTTTATTATGTACTTAACGTATTTCTTGATGTTGTTTATAGTTTTGATTTGTGTTGTTCTGTTTGCGTTATGTTATTTTAAACGTTTATGTAATAACAATGATCATGAACATGATTCACATTTATAAGATTAATGTCAAGATGGTTTCGTTTCTTTACTTTTTTATATATTTTATATCTTCTAGTTTGATGTATTCATTATTTTTATTTTATTTTGATCTTTTCTACTGTGTTCTTTAATTTATGTTATCCCTGACAGAGAAACTGTATTTGTAATAGTACGTAATAACAGCATTACATGTTTATTATTAATTAACTGTATTTTTCACTTTATATTTTCATTTCTTGTTGACAATCTCAATACAATACAATTTCTTACAATTTGTCATATATGAGAAACAAATGTTTATGCCATTGAGAATTTCTTCCGTACAAACACGATATCAAAAAAAATTATAAACAGTATTCCCAAAATAGATATTAACTATATTTTAATATTGCAAATAAACAAGTTCATATTGATGGTTAACTGACCTTCTTCCCGAGTGGTAAAGTGTAGTGGCGAGGTGTATGGAGAGCCACCGACGTCGTTAAAGGAGGCCAGGCGAAGTGCGTACCGCGTGTCGGGTGCCAGACCGGACACAGAGGCGCCTGCCCGACCCGGTCCTTCCGACCTGGTAAAATAATAATCAGTTTATTATCCATTACGTAACATAATATCATAGCCATTAAAATGGTAATTAGGTTATCTTGAAAACGAAGACAATTTTCCATAGTTCCTGTCGGTGAGGGTAAGTTGATTTTCTTGTATAAATTGACAAAAAATTCACGCTTAATAATCAGTAAAGACAATGATTTAAACGTCACTATTGAGCTTGAAAGGCAGAATATTAACGACAACCGAATCTTCCTTTTATCCCAAATTATCTTACGAAAAGCAACGAACGACCCCGGATAATACTTAATTCAAAAACGTTGTTTCTTAAAGAATTAAGAGAATTCTATAGTCTTAGGCAAACTTACGCAACATGTAGCAAATCCGAATTAGCCAATGTTAAGTTGACGACTTCAGGTGTGTCCCAGGTATCAAGCAGAGCGGGCAGCGGTGCGTCGAGCGGAACGTTTGAGAGTTCGCGAGTGAGTGCACGATACTGGAGAGAGTAGTGGGAGACAAGAGCACCTCTCGCTATCCTCCAAGTGACTCGAGCCCTGCGCGACCAGACTTCAGATACGCGGACTTCTTCAGGTACGTTTGGACGTTCTTAACAAAAAATTTAAACACTGATACTATATTGACCAACAAATTACAAATCTGCCCTCCTTATCATAACTAACGTTATCGACGGTTTTAGCCAAATTGAGTTATTAACCTATCCGGGATCAGCGAAACAAGATCTACAACGCCCTCTAATCGGTTTTTTTTTATATCTTCTTTAGCTTCTTCAATTTTATTTTTAAGCAAAGTCAGCGTAATTGCATCTCGAATGTTACCGAAACTCAAATGTGTAAGTTATGACAAGTAGGCCAGAAATAATTTTTGGTTACTAAACGATGTCAAAAGTTTTTCAGTTGTCGTCATTCATTCAAATCATTACATATATATTGGGGTTGGGATTACAATATTTCATTGTTCTTTTTACCATTTCTGTATGTCAACGATTATTTTTAGGATTTAGCCGATAGCTTCGTAGAACACAGTTTTTAAGATTTTTGTTTTTTTTTTCAACCCGGGGCGGGAGAAATATTTGTGTAGCCTACATTTATTTCTCTCGTGAGTCCATGGCACCACCGACATAGGGTTTTCCTAGTGCAGAGCTATGAGTGTCTGCATTTTTTTTGCCTTTGCATTTGCAGCATTTGACCGCAATCTCACCTGATGAAAAGTGACAATGAGATCAATGAAGCATACACACCTAAATAATGCCTATTCATTATCGCCTTGAGAAAGCCCATATTACGTTGTATCGTTGAAGAAACAAGTCTGCAGGCAGGGAATTCCACTCTGTAGCAGTTCGCCATATAAATATGGAAGCGAGACACTTCGTGCGACTCCTACGTTATCGACTAAATGATTCCAGGTTACTTACAACGGTATGAACCTTTATCATTGTCTCGATGTTTCAAAATGGTTACACGCACCACATAACCGGGAATCAGCTCGGCACCGTGCGAGCGTAGAACCGTTCCAAAATATCGAAAAAATAACACGTCATAAGAAAGATAGAAATTTAGTTTACTCTTATGTATGCAGGGGAGGCTACGACTAACGACTACGTGATCGTACTAAGCATCTTGTTTATATTGTGTACACATGTTAATTAATACAATAATTCCGTCTACGATGTGTAGGTACAAAAGTTGCGCGTACCTTTAACAAACAGTCTATATAGCAACTCATCACTGCCATAGAGGTTCCTTGCAAGGCACCGATACTCGCCCGCATGTTCAGGGCCCGCGTGCGCTATAGTTATCTCTGACGTTAAAGCTCCGTTGTTTATGTCCCTTGTCTCTACTGCACCTCCGCCGCTGCCATATCATAAAATAGCGATCATAAACAACTTGAATGTAGCTCAACTTTGTAGGATACGGCTAGGTAATTTAAAAATGTTAAACAATATTTAATAAACCACTCTAAAGTTAAGGAAAGATGAAAGTTAAAACAGATTACAATTCTTGTTTCTTATCTTATAAGAAGAAATATGGAGAGCGCTACATGGGCAAGACCATATTTGCACATCAGGTGTAACAACGACACAATTGTAAAAACTTACAAAACTAAGATAATTATGACATATTATTATTGATAATAAAAATCGAACAACATAAAGAAAATATCGAGTTCTTAGGTTTTCGCGATTGTTACACATAGGAAATGAAACTATTTTTCTGGATTTAAATCGCGCATATTTGTTTTTTCAAACATACCGACGTTTCTTTTAGTACTTATATCCAATTTACTATGGAACAAGAGGATTGTGGTACTTTAGCTTTTTTAGATGTTTTAATTAAAAGAAATCCTAATAACACCTTAGGCCATACTGTATTTCGAAAGAAAACCCATACAGATAGGTATCTCAATCGTAATTCCCATCACCATCCTAGCCAGTTAGCTACCGTGGGCAAATCTTTGTTTCAGAGAGCACATGGTGTCTGTGAGAGTAATCATCTGGCAGGGGAACTTCAGCATATAAAGCAAGTAATACATGCGAATAAGCTGAAGATTCCACGCTAATGCCGCAGGCCCCGTGTGAAACCACCAACAGTCGAGCGAAGACCTGCCATCTTACCTTACATGAGAGGTGTTACAGACAAGATCGGAAGAGTCCTCAGACGTGCTTCTAGCAAGACCTATTTCCAGCCCCTGAGGAAGATTTCTCAGTTCCTGAGACCCGTGAAATGTAACATCCCCTTACAGGATGCAGGACTTTACAAGCTTGACTGTGAGTGCGGTCTCTCTTATATTGGACAAACAAAGTGAGGTATTTGTACCCGCGTCAAAGTACATATAGCTGATGTCAAACACCGTCGCGTAAACAAGTCTGCAGTCTGCGAGCATATCGTGGATAAACCTACACATTCAATGAAGTTTGACAAACCCCAGGTCCTTGCAAAAGAAGTCCGTTATCTACCCAGGATGCTGCGAGAGGCCATCGAAATTAAAAAACATCTTAATTTCAACAGGGAAGATGGTTTCTCCGTACCACCAGTTTGGGATCCAGTATTTCCTCTAATGAAAAACAAAAATTAGTACTGCAGTCTTATGTCCCAAACAGACATAAGACTGCAGTACTAATTAATATATATAAGTTTATTCTAATTTCTATTATTAATTATTAATAAATTGAACTTAATAAAAATTCATTCAATAAAATAATTTGTAAAACTTAATGTAGCGTAAATTGGAATGTTTTCTTTGTAAAATTAAAAATAAGGTATTTATTTAATAACTATTGTAGCTATAGGGAAAAAATAGGGTGGTTTAAATCAATATTAGACATAACTGGTTGAAGACTGTACCACCTCAGTCAACCGTGACCATGGGACCTTTAAGGGGCCCGAAACGTCGGTTTGTTTGAAAAACAAATTTACGCGATTTAAATCCGGAAAAATAGTTTCATTTCCTAAACATAAAGAAAAATTCCTTCGGTCTGACCAGCGTCTGTTGCCACAACGGAATCGGCTTTTTTTTGCTGTCAGCAAAGCCTTTAAAAAATATATTTCGATTATGACATAACTACCGTATAGTATATTTACTGGGACAGTAAAGACGTTTACGCAGTTTTAAGACCGTAAGACCTTGAGGGTTGTTGTAACATTACAACAAAATTGATATGGAAAACATAATATGTTTTCCAAAACGTGATTTGATTTACAAATGCGTGTTCCAACAAAATGTTTTTGTAGGTACACTCGTTACGTTAATATAGTAAAATCAAGTTCCTTGACCGTACCGGTCATTTGAGATCAGTCCCCCGACGCATGGCACTTGCTGAAAATAACCCGTGTGTCATCGGACCTACTTACTATGAGCGTTTACCCGCTACTTTAAGACTTGAACCGTCTGACGAAACATTTAGGCGCCGGCTGAAAGACCTTTTATTGAAAAATCCTTTATATTCTGTAAATTAATTTATAGACATAAAATTTTAACGATATTGAGTATTAATTAAGTAATTTTCTATTTTTATTCTGATTTTTACCGCATTGACACTCTTGTATAATTGTTATCAACTTATGATGATCCTTGATGGAGAATGGTATTTGATATGTAATTTAATGACAACAATATTATATAACAAATTGTTTGTTAATTTTCTAATTATTGTGTATTTTTCTTATAATTTTCATTTTTGTCTGACGATCTCAATATAATTTCTTATACTTTGATGTGTAGTGCAATTTATACTCTAATGTTATATTTTAGAAATAAATAAATCTGAATCTGAATCTTTTAAATTTAACATGTACTAAACTTTTGTATTTTTCTTATGATTGAGTCTTCGATTTTTTATAAAGTAACCGCCATTTTTTTTTACAAAATATAATTGTTTTAATAGCACCATTCGATTGGGCGCAAAATTTCCTGTCAAACTGTATACATAACTAATTTTCACCCATTTGGTGGTTACGTTAAGTGATCCTATACAACTGACGATATCATACACAAAAAAAATTCAATATGTACAATTATACCTTTGTTACACCGGATTATTACCACTATATCAATGGATATTAATATAGTAATTGCCTAATTATATTACCACACTTACTGTAAAGCTAACGGCCTGGAATCATGTGTCCAGTGAATGTGAATCTCAGGCTCTCCACGTACAGTGCAAGTAAGACGAGCTGCAGAACCTCTGACTACCCATCGTGTTTCTCCACCGCCTCCTCCTCTGGTCAACTTTGGAGGTTCTATGACGGAATTGTATTAACAACTTTTCGGATGCCACAAATATACAGCCAAAATGAAACACGCAGACTGGAAATCGTATTAAATCGTAATAATCTTCTTTTTCGTCAATGTTTAGAATCTCCAGATAATGTAATAAGAACATGTCGATATAATATACTAGAACTGTTTTAGAGTCCCTTTTTTACTCGTAATATCAGAGATCATTTGACTTACCTCTTACGTCAAGATAAAAAATGTGATGAAGATAGGAATGTTGGACTCTAGCGGTGCATCGATACCATCCTTCATGTTCTGGCGTTGCGGCTTTCAACCACACAGTTCCATCAGAGAGTATGGAACCACCACTAGCATCTATTGTTTCTGATTGACTCCAAAGAATGTGACGCCAGTTTTCATTATCTACGCAAAATAAAAGAATGTGATAAAACAATGTGCGAAACACTCTGATTGATTTGTCGATATCTAAACATCATCTAAATATTATTTTGCGCGTTATAACTTTCAATTAGACATGAAAGAATTACCGGAAGAATATTCCCAAGATATCCTTGGTGAAGGTTGCCCTTTAGCTGAGCAAGGAAGAAGTAAAGCAGCTCCTGCCGACACTGAAGTGTTTTGAGCACGCCACACCCATGTAGGTGCCTCTGTGAAAAAAAACTACTATAAATGCTGTGCCATCCAACAAGAACAAAGAACTAAATATAGTCCAGGAAACAGAAATACCTTTGACCATTAAATGAGCGCTGTGGCTGACAGAGCCATAATCATTTGTAGCTTTACAAGTGTATTCCCCCGTATGAGCAGCTGTTAAGTCTTGGATAATCAATAAAGAAAAGAAGTCCATGCTCTTTTGCTCCACCTGCGAATAAGTTGTTCTTTTGCTGTATAATTTATTGTAAATTGAATGTATCCAACAAGGTTACGCTATAAATGTGTAACTGTCCGCAGTACCTTTAAAATCGAGGGTATCGGCAAATTATCTTTATGCCAAATAAATTGTATTGGTTTATCCCCGGAAACCAAACTACAAGTTGCTTGCGTACTGCCTCCGACTTCAAGCTCCTCAGGAAATTGGAATGGCATTATCTTAGGGGGTTCTGCAAATTTATATAAAAGATTAGCGGTTATACCAAATATATTATCCTGAAAACAGAAACATAATTCGCACTGAAACTTACTATGCACTTCGATACGAACGGTCCTCTTTGCCAACTCCCCACTTTCAGCATGGACTTCACAAGAGTAGGAACCCGAAACTGAACTTCTGATTGATGCTAATCTGAGCATGCCACGTTCATCACTAGATTCCGTAGAAGCTTCAATAATAGATCCATCATCACGCTTCCAAATTACTTCTCTGTTGAACAACACATTTAAAATGTACTGCTCATTTCAAAGTCAAAAGGTTAACTTTAAAAATTACGTTGACTTACTTTATAGGATATCCATAATATGGACAATACACAACTACGTCATTGTCTGCTTTAACGTGAATTGGCGGCAAATATCTTATATTCGGTTGTCCTATAAAGTGGAAATAGTATTAAATGTTATTAAAATGTTATCAATTACTGAATTTCTAAAGATATTTTTTAAGACGCACCGATAACGTTCAGTCTTGCATAATGAGCTTGTGATCCACGAGAATTTGTTGCGTTGCATCCGTAACGGCCACCTTCTTCTGGTGACCTGATGTTTACGCTGAGAGTTGACACTATCGTTCCTTCCTCACTACCTGGTAATGTTTCCGCCCTCGTATTTATACTGTACCTGAAGTTATTTTATTTAAACTTTAATAACATTCCTTCATAATGAATTTATCAAACATGATTCCATATCACAAGCATACTTTTCCGGTGCTGACGGCAAAGGTCTATCGTCTAAAGTCCAATAAATTCGAGGTGAAGGCACTCCAGTTGCTGCACATCGTAATCCAATGTTTTGACCCACTCTTGTCACAGCCTCACTGAAAGTGGCCACCAGTCTTGGCGGCCTGTCTGAAACCCATTTTAGGAGTTGAGAGATCGATATTTTAACACAGAATTTATACACCTTTCTGTTGTATAGAATACCAAATCACATCTGTAAAGAAAAAATTTACCAGCGATAAGTAGTTCAGATCCAGCGACGGCGGATTCTGAATGATCGTGGACAGTACATTGATAAAGGCCTCCATGATGGTTCCGAATTGGACCCAGTGTCAACCGAGATTGGGGCGCATGAAGTGGCCGGCCTTCGTGTTGCCAACTTAGAGTAAGTCCGCCTCCTCGACCTCCTTGAACTGAGCAGTTTAAATGGCCCGATCCACCCGTTCCAATCATCTACAATAAATAATTCACCAAAGGTTTTAAAGCCAAGTTGTTTTGAGAAAAGGATTTACGCCATGATTACCCTTGACAGGGGTATTATTTTCCAATCATATTAATCGTACAAGAGGTTCATTGAATTATACATAAACCTATTTTATTTTACACTCATTAATAACAACGAATGGTCTACCCATTTAGTAATAAACCTCTTAAACGTACCAATGGATTTGGCGTCACGGCAACTGTCAAAGGCTCATAGACGACTAATCGAGTTAGCACTCTCGGCGAGGACTCTGCGCCCACAGAGCAGGCATACCGGCCAGTATGATGCGGCCGAACGTTTGCTAGTACTAATGTTCCACTGCGCACTGTCCCTTCACCTGCTGACACCCATGTTCCACCTGGCTCTTGGCGCTGCCAACTACAAATTCAAAACTACGTTGATTCATTACAGCTATTCTTAAGAAACAGAAAAATCTTGAAACTCAAACTCAACAAAAGTCTTACGTGCTCATGTCGGAAAACTGAAAGAATTACAGCGAATTACTTAAGGGTTACTTACGTCACACTATGTCCTGTCATATGTCTCAAAATACAAGGTAGTATCACAGCATCACCAGCCCGAGCTTCGATTGAATTTAACTCAATGTTTTCTAACCAACTGCTATCTGCGTGATTGATGAAATATTGATTCATGAAATTCGAAATTGGTAACACACTCACTAGTAATTTCTATAAATTGCGAAAATAACGTACCATCAGTCGTGAGCCGCAAAGAAGAGCTTGGAATATCGAGAGCTAGACAAGAATACTCCGCTTGTATATCGGTTTGTGATAAATCTGTGCCAAGCAGCAAACCACTTGCTCCAGATATCCAACGAGTATCTAAAATCACATTTGTTTGATTTCCATATGTCTGTTACAAAAACATACTAAACTCAAATACCAAGATTTCTTACCAGGGCCTAAATATCCTGAAGGTAAAGGCAGCCCGTCTTGCAACCACGTTACCTCGCCGAGACCGATTTGGGGAGACATCTCGCAGCGCAGTACAACGTAGCCTCCTACTTTGGCAGGAGTTAACTGGCGTGCAGTGTGCGAGAGAACATTGTCTTCCACTATAAGAAACATTAAAGCTGAAAATGCTGACCATAAACAGTACACCATTGAAATGAACTGCATTATTTTAAAAAGAATAGATATTACCGGCCCTATATAAATTTTAATAAGTGTGTTACCCAAGAGTCCTTTTATGTTTGGAAAAGAAATAAGAAACAAAAAGAAATGGAATAATAAATAAGAGAATAATTGCGTCAGACGTGCCTTTGTTTGTGAAGCAGTCTCATTATTGACTCGTCAATTGTGAACTGACTTTAAAGTCGTTTGTTCTAAGGAACAAGCGCGCTGTAATTTGGTAAATGGACTCAACAGGAATTCGTAGAAATTTTACTCATTTTAAACATAGACACAGGTAATACTATAGCACAGTTCAGCGAAAATATCAATAATTATACCTATACAACGCCTTTGTGTTGTAAACAACTACTATACCTATTTACGTAAAAAAGTCATTTAATTCTTTTTATGCCTTTTACTTCGAGGTAAATATTAAAACATCAAAGTGTGGAATACTTTCTTTGAAACTCATTTCAATAAGAATAAGCTTCTACTGCGCCCCCATTTGTTGCCTCCGAATTCCTCTTTTGTAGCCTACTCCATTGAAGGGAAAATATTAAAATATGGTAAGTAAAATCTGTAACTTGAGCGCTAGTTGTGAGAGGAGATGTTCCTACTGACTTCGCAATTGGAGAACTCGTTATCGTTACTTTGTGGAAGTCGATGTTCAACATCAATTCGAATATCTTGTATTGTCTTGCGATTCTTAACGAACTTCATCTGACTTACGAGTAACAAGGAAACGCTTGGTTGTTTACAAACATGCTTCAACGGAGAGGATTCTCTATAAAAATATTTTTACGCGATAATTATTATGAGCATCTCTACCTTATAAATATAAAGAAATAGATGTTTTACTTTAACAAAGTTATTTTTAGAGAGGGAGACATTATGTTCAATATTTAATTAAAACTTTTTCCGAGTCCGTCGACAGGAAAAATGATTGAAAGTGATTGGGCTCAATTTAAAAATTCATAACAAGATATCTATATACCTGCTTACTTGTTATAAGAGTCGATTGAACGACTGAAGTGGGCTGTTATTAATTTTATTTCATATTTCCCAGGCTGTGTAACGGAAAGTTACCTGGTCCAACTTGAGTTGAAGTAGTAATTAATTTCTTTTGACTTCTTCTCCTTCAACGCCAAGAAAGAATCTCTGTGACTATAATTACTTGTTAAATATAATCCGTTCATATTGCAAAAGTGCAGTTATTACTTAATTCTTAGAAATAATATAAACAAGGTTTACTTTCTGAAAAGGAACATTATTCAACTTAGCAAAGAGTTGCCCTGTTTCGCCTCGAGGGAAACTAAGTTAGTTTTAACAAGCCTGCTATTTGCGGGCTATGTGGAGGCTGTGTAGGGAGAGCGTACGACGGAGACGAATGAGACAACTCGATGCTTGATTAACACTGAATATAATAAGTAATAACATTGATGTAAATACATGGTGCTTAACAATAACAATTCTTATACTACACTTTCCCCGTTACAAAAATAAAATAAAATTTATATAATTTCTATTTTATTTCTATCGTTATACAAAAGAAATACTTATACATACGAATATATTTTCTTATAGCATAGTTACAAAGGGTAATATAGTTAGTTACATTTTATTTTGTTTAGTAGTCAAAAAGCAATATATTATTCTTATTAATTTTTTAATAATAATTATCATTATTTTGTATACAATAAGGTACTTAAATTAATTATGTGAGTACCTACTTTACTTATGTATTTTACATAATATAAGGTTTTGTGCGATTTTTGTGTACTATTTCTTCCTTATTATTTCTCATGATTTTAACGTTACATCCTAAATCTTCATTAATTAAAAATGGACCCGAATATGTACTATCCATTTTGTTGCCAGTTTCATTTTTAAGTAGCAAATAATTACCTTTAGTGTACGTCACTGGATTAACAAATACGTCATAGGCCTTCTTCCGTTTTAACTTATTTCCTAATAAGTTCTTCCTTGCATCTTGCTGTGCAACCTGTAATCTATATTTTAATTCAAGTGGATAACTATCGTAGTTATATAAAGGATCTATACCGGAATCTAAATTGTTCGGCAATTTGCACGACTTTCCGAATACCAGTTCATGCGGTGTGTACCTTGTCTCTGTATGTACCGTATTATTGTACGCGAAGCACCAGAACGGCAGCCAGCTGCTCCAGGAACATGTTCGGTTAAGGCAATTAATACGTAAATACGCACCCATAGTCTTATGTGTATTCTCGAGCGCTCCTATGGACTGGTGGTGGTACGCTGTTGAAGTAAGGTTCTTAATTTTTAATAGTTTACAAACTTCAACCATTGTGTTTGAAATGAATTCAGATCCACGATCTGTTGCAATTTCCCTGGGTATGCCAAAACGCAAAATAAAATTATTTACAAAAGCAGATGCAACCGATTTAGCATCTTTTGTGTGAAGCGGATATGCCTCTATGAACTTTGATAGCTCACACTGTAACGTGAGAACGTAAGAATGACCGGCATTATCTGTAGGCAGAGGACCAACTATGTCTAAATAAATCTTTTCAAATGCATAACTTGACGTACTGGTTATTTCCATAGGCTGTTTGATTTTATTTGAATATTTTTGTTTTTGGCAAAGGTCACATTTTGCTACAAACTCCTGAATATCCTTATCCATACTAGGCCAGTAATAAAACTTTTTTATATTATTTGACATTCGCCTAATACCCGCGTGGCCACTAGTGGGCAACAGGTGAAAGTCATTGATTATTACTCGCCTATCATCTACGTTATTTATTCTTTGTACGCTTTTCAATACACAGATTCGTGGTCCGGACCAATCTTTCGTTTCTCTTATTTCATTTATTATCTGTGCAATAAAACTTTTATTATTCTGACTCTTTATTATGCATAATTCCTTTATTTTTGTTTTCATACACAAGTTGCATAGATCTCTCACCAACACGTCTCGCGTAATCGATGATCGAGATAATATTCCAGTAAAATAAATTTTACTCTTACTTGGTACATAAATAAAATAATTAGACCTTTCCATAATTATTTCTTTTCTCTTTATGTCTCTCAATTTCCTATTATTTACTAATTCTAACTCAACCAAATGTTCTGGCTTTTTAATTATCTCCACAACTCTCGGTTGATCAGACCTTGAGTTCGGGGGATGATTATCGGCCACCAAATTTGGCGTATCTCTCTTTCGTTCGCTCTCTCGCATGCGTCTCACTTGCCCACGAGTCATAACATTTAAAACTCGTTCATTTAACATTTTTAAATCATCAGACGTTATCAGTATTCTTGATAAGGCATCCGCGGCTGAATTTTTGCTACCTTTTATGTATTCTATTGTATAATCATATTCTTCTATTTGTAATCTAAATTTAAGTAATCTGCTAGAAGGGTCGCGCATACTAAATAAATATACTAATGGCCTGTGATCGGTTTGGATTTTAAACTTTCTGCCGTATAAATAAGGTCGAAAATATTTTACACTCCACACTATCGCTAAGAGCTCTTTTTCGATAGTGGGATAGTTCTTTTCGGCTTTATTTAGAGTACGGCTAGCGTATGCTACAGGCCTGCCGTCATTATTACATAGCACCGATCCTATGGCGTGTCCCGACGCGTCTGTTTGCAATATAAATTCATTACTCTCCTGAAAATTTGGGTACTGTAGAACAGGAGGTCTAACTAAGGCTGTTTTTAATGAATGAAAAGCATGTTCACACGCTTCAGTCCATTTAAATGTTACGTTTTTACAACACAACCTGTTAAGAGGATAAGCTTTTTCTGCAAAATTGGGTATAAATTTACGGTAATAATTCGCAAACGCCACGAACCTCTTTACGTCATCTGTGTTAGCTGGTTTTGGGTAATTTTCTAATACTTTAGTTTTTTCTGGGTCAGGTAAAATACCTTTTTCTGATATTACATGGCCAAGGTACAAAATTTGCTTTTGTAAAAATTTACATTTTGCTGGATTTAATTTCAAATTGATTTTGCGTAACCGAGACAAAATGTCCATTAAATTTTTATTATGATTTTCGAGGTTTCTACCAAAAACACATAGGTCATCCTGATAAACCAAACACTGCTCGTAATTTAATCCCGACATAGCAATCGTAATCATTCTAGAAAACGCATTGGGACTAGTTTTTAGTCCCATTGGTAATCTAGTCATTTGATATTGATTTTTGGTTGTTGTGAATGCCGTGTATTGTCGACTGTTTTCATTTAATTTTATTTGATAAAATCCTTGATAGAGATCTAAAGTAGTGAAATACATTGCACCAGACAACGAGTCTAGAATGTCTGAAATATTTGGCAGAGGAAACTTGTCATCTTGAACTTTTTCGTTTAATTTTCTGTAGTCAATTACTACACGCCATTTTTTAATACCCGTTGAATCTAGCTTTTTAGGTACTAGTAATAATGGACTCGACCAGGCACTCCTACATTCCTCTATTATTCCATCGTTTTGCATACTTTTTATTTGTTTATCTATTTCCGATTTTTGGCTTTGTGGTAAACGATACGGCTTTACGTAAACAGGAGTAGTATGTGGCTTTAATTCAATAGTATGGTCGTATAATGAAGTCGTTGTCAATTTATCTCCTGGTACGTGAAAGACGTCTGGAAATTTGGCACAAATGTTTTCAATAGACTTTTGTTCTTCCTCATTTAGATTTTCAAATTTTAGTAAAGAAAACAAAGACTTGACCCTCTCTGCGTTCATATTCGACTTATTAAAGTGACATAAATAATAATCGCTTAACTTAGAAACGTTTAAATTAAAATAATTCAAAATTACATCCTCATTTCGTGTATTCATTATTTTAAAAGGTATCTTACCATTATGCGGCTGTACTATAATGTTAGCAATGTATACTCCGTGACATAATTCTTGAGAACTAATGACACATTCTTGTTTTAACTTCGTGTCAACATAATGAATTGATTCGCTTCTTGCTGGAATTGTTAAATATGAACTATCTTGTCTCAAATAAGTAATGGGTAATGTGACAGGTCTCTCTAAATTACAAATTCTTAATTCATTTAATTCGAAGTCTACAACTGCTTTGTACTTTGTCAAAAAATCTTGCCCTAAAATTCCATCAGTTTTGCATGGTAATTTATCAAATACATAAAATTTATGTTTTATAGTGGAGGTATCAATTTTGAGCTGTAAATAAATATATCCTTCTGACTGTACGCTTCCACCAACGCCGTTGACGCAAAGTTTTTCTTTATGGAATGGAATGCGTAAACATTTTACTCTATCGTGCTTGACAACTGAAATCGAAGCGCCGGTGTCGATTAGCCATTCGCTTTTGTTGTGCTCATGCCTGTCCAAATTAATACATACTTTACATAAGCTGTTGCACATACATACATAGTCAGACTCGAAAAAAATTATTCAAATGTGACATATTTGCTTGCTCTGATTCATCGCGGTCACGTTCCGTTGCCATGCAGGGGTCACCTGTTGTGGATATAAAGTTCACATTCCTATGGCATGATTGACGGCGATTGCCCTGATACCTACCCCTGTACGAGTTTCCACGAGAAAACACTCTTGGGTTTCTTGGATGATATGAGTACTGTGGCCGTCTGTAATAATAATTTGGTGTATTTACCTTTACGGCGGACTGCCCTCGCGCGTATCCTCTGTGTCCTCCGCGCGCTTTCGCTGCTCGGTGGGGGGGTGTAAACCCACGGGGTTGAGCGGACATGCCCATTACATCCGCTGAGGAAATTATCGTGATCTCTTCATCTTGCGCTGCTTGAATGGCGTCTTTTAGTGTATTAAAATCACGCGCTGCAATTATTGTACTTGTTCTACGGTTCCTAAGCCCGTCGGCAAACCGTTTAATTGCGTAATTTTCGTTTAACGGGCGCAGAACATTATAATGATCAGAATTTCCGTCCGATTGGGTAATAGTTAAATCCGCGAACAATTCAGAAATTTCCTTGCCAAAATCAGCAACAGTGCGTTCATTTTGCTTACATGTTTGAAGTTTCATTTGTATGGCCGATGCTGATTTTCTTGGTAATAATTGTTTGCGCATATCGGTCAGTAATTCTGATATATTCTCGTATTTACTAGATAATTTTAGCTTACCCGATTGAGACAGCCTAGTTTTTAAAATAAAGGAAATTAATTTTTTATTCGATTCGTTATCTAAGGTAGTGGCATAGTACTCAATACTATCAATTAATTCTTTCGTATTTTCTTCTTTGTCACTCATGACTGGCAGAAGACTTAACGCGACCTTCAGATCGAACGTTGCCATTTTTAATATTTCTTCACTTTCTTTTTTTATATTGCAAAGATTCTTTACTTCACTGTACAATAACTTAAAATCCTGACAATATTTATCAATAAAAATTTTTTCTTCTTTACTTTTTAAATGATATACCTTAGTAATAGCATCTATATAAGTGTTATATTGTTCTAATAATTCATTTGCCTCTTTAAGCTTAGTTTCAATTATTTTTCCACATCGTCTTTTAGGTCCAATTTTAATTAAGTAGGTTCTAATCTTTGAAAGCTCTTCATTTAAATTTTCCAAATATTCTGACATACATAAAATCGCACTTACCTATATATTTATACTATTTATATTATATACTTAAAGTCTATAATGTACATATTATAATGTAGTATAACCGTTTATTAAAAAAAAAATTTTTTTTGTTTCGCACTTAAATTTTCATCATTTTTACCACACTTACACTGATATTGAATGGGGTTTTCACTCACTACTGTACTAGTTTATCAAAGCAATTTGCTTCGTGACAGGAACATCTTGCGACTCAGGTTTCTTCATAAGGAATCGGGGTCGTCGTCGTTACAAGGAATGCTCGCTCCTTCTTACATTTTGTTTAACCGTATTATACCTGCATCAACGCCTCGCTGCACTCTTTTATTGAAACACCTCACACAATATCGGATCATAATGATAGCTCCAACCATCAACAGTATTATGATAATTGCCACCATGGACCACGAAATGATCCCAATATTGGTCACGATATGATTGTTTGTAATTTGGTTGTTAACACCGACTTGTGCGGTGACTTCCGGTTTTTCAGGTATTTTTGAGTTACACATTTTTGGCACTAAAATTTACGTCCACGTCCGTTAAGTGTCGATTAGAATAAATAATATACATTTTAAGTCCGTTGAGCCAAACTGTAACCGGGCACTAGCTACATCCCAAAAATGGCAGGGTCGCCATGTAGGGAGAGCGTACGACGGAGACGAATGAGACAACTCGATGCTTGATTAACACTGAATATAATAAGTAATAACATTGATGTAAATACATGGTGCTTAACAATAACAATTCTTATACTACAGCTGTATGGTTTATGTAATTATAAAGTATAATATGTATATAGATACACAGAATAATAAATATTGCAATATTTATTGAATATCATAATCCTTTAATTTTTTTATGATATCAAGTGATGTGCTTTAAATCGCGAAGACCTAAGGGACACTGCCTCTGCGCCTGCCACTCTGAGACATAAGGTGGCAAGTCCCATGTGTCTGTGATTTCACCAGCACCAGTGCCCTTCAAAACCGGAACGCAGTAATGTGAGCATTACTGCCTGGAGGCAGAAATAAGTTAGGTGGCAGTACTGCCCTGGACGAACTCTTTCATAAGGAGCTCTACTGCCACTGATGTTTTTCTACCATGGTATTGATATATTTTTTGTGAAAATATTCCACTAGTTTGATGTTATTATGAATACAAAGATGGAACAGTCCTATATCTTTTCTATATAAGCTTTGTTCATAATGACCCCCCTAAAACCTTGTTACTATAACCTGTGCAAGTAAGCCCGCATAGGGACCCACTCAGTCAGGTCCTGACCCCAGATTAGCCCGTTTGCACGAACTTCATTCGGTGAACTTGTAATAATTTCGGGAGTGTACCAAAGGAAGTAATAATACACATATTTTTTATTGATTATTATGATTATTAGTAATATACATTGATATAATAAATTTACCTGTGTATTTATTGAGTATTTATTCATTTCATTCATTTAATTTCTTTATTTATTAATTTTTATTGCAAACACAAAAAGCAACTTTCCCCTCAGTTATTTTTTCAAAGGTGAGTCGGACGAAATCCCTTTACGGGATAAGCTCGCCTTTGTGCACTAACATTTTAAATTGTTTCTTAAAATTTGTAATCTACTTTATGGTACAATAAAATGTTTACATACATATATACATATGCTACAATATTACAAACTAATCAATCAATAATTTCCGATAATTTACATACAATACATGTGATTTTTAGGTGTTTTTTTAGAAAATACAAGTGGGTATTTGGCCGCCATCTCACCTGATGTGAAAGTGATGATACGGTCGACTATAGAGCACGCACACCTAATTAAACTTGTGGGATTGTGAATAGTACGTCTTACGGGGATACTTCTTTCGCCCCTAAAAATGCTGCAGCAGCTAAAGCAGCAAGTAACTAACAAAAAAGGAGACATTAATTCGTGTCCGTATTTTACTGAGACTAGATCCCAGTCATGGCGGACATACCATCTGTTGCGGACTTGGCATTTCTGAGGGTATTTATTCTCTCACGCAAAAAAGTCATAAATTACTGCTATTAGAATTTTCCTCGTTGATCATTACCGAAACAAAGAGAAGTTTACCTTGTTGCGAACTCATTCTTAATTTAATTTTTAAGCCCATAGGTCATAGGACCATATAATCAGAAACGTCGGGTATATTATCTAATCCGGGCCTACGGCATCCATAATGATTTTCCCCCACCCCACGCAAAAAAAATCATAAATTACTACATTTAGAATTTTTCTCATTGACCATCACTGAAACAAAAGAGAAGTTCATCCTGTTGCGAACTCACTCCTAATGTCATTTTTAATACTGTAATTAAAAGTTTTCCGTGTAAAAAGCTGGAGCAGCCGTGGGCTGTTATTCATTTTATTTCATATTTCCCTGGCTGTGTAACGGAAAGTTAATTGGTCCAACTTGAGTCGAAGTTGTAATTTGTTTTGCCCTCTTCTCGTACATCTGTTTATTAAACAAGGCTGCTGTTTAAGGTTTAGGTAATTTTCATTATATCCAAGCACAGAAAATGAAATGGTCAATACCAAATACGAGCACTGTTTATTTATTATGTTTCCAGTAGAATTCAGGCTTACGGGATTAGATTTAATTAGGATTATCTTATCACTTCGAGGAATCGGGGTTTATTACGAGAGGATTAACTGTGCTATGTATAGAATTTAGAAATAATTAACACCGAACCGAGTGTTTGCTACTGATAGTGTTTTGTTTTAATGTAAATACTATTTGTGGGTTTCAGCGGATTGTGAATTGATTGTCAAAGCGTGTGCGTAGGCTACGCACACGGCGTATTTTATACGCGCCGCAGACGCGCTGTAGTCGCGTGTATGTATCGTGCATTTTGATAAGAGATAGCTTTAATTGTAGTTTTGTTTGTTAATTAATTAAATAAATTAAATTAAAAAGCAACTAGTACCTACATGAAATTCTAGGTGTAAACTCCAGTTTAGTTTATAAGCTTTTTGCTTACAACGCGATGTTTGCGTGCCTTTCAATCGATTTATTACAGCGCGTCGTCGACGCGCATAAAATATGCCGTGTGAATAAGCTCTAATATCACAGTCTTTCAGAATCAACAATATCACGATCCGAAATAGTGTAAGCTCAGTAAATCCTCGTTTGTTACTTACCTGTCGGTCATATCCTATAATATTATACTATTATTAAGCTGTTTTTTTTATTAAAAAAATAAATGAGGTCAAATATCCTCATCTCACCCGATGGAAAGCGACGCTGGGGTCGACGATGGAGCATGCGCATCTAAATAATGCCTATTCAATGTCGCCTTGAAAAAGCTTAAATTATGGTTTTCAGGGAACAAGTCTGTAGGCAGAGAATTCTACTCTTTGATCGTTCGCCATATACATGTCGAAGCGAAACGTTTCGTGCGAAATCTTATAATATCTACAACACAGGGGTGAAACCATAGCCTACGTCTAGTACCTCGACGATGGAAAGGGGAAGACGGAAGTAATAAAGCCAAATTTCATTAATTAATTTGTTTGATTGAAGGCTAGATACTCGTATACACTATTGCTCACAAACAAGAACAAAAACGTTACACAAACAACTAGAAACTAATGTGGGCAAGTGCGGCCTTATCGCTAAGAGTGACAACCTTTGATGCATAGGAAAACTAAACAAAGTGGGAGATGTAATGTGCCAATGGTAAAACTTCAAACCTAAAAACCTACACTATACGATATAGAGTTTCTTTACTTTTCCTTCTTTTTGTCGAAATTATCTCTCTATATAGGTATTGACGCAGTCATAATATTTTATAGCACTCATATACAGAGTGTTTTTTCTAAAGGGGGAAATCCGAGACCATAGAAGATACAAGGAAACTGTCTTAGGAACCATGCTTCTGTTGTCTCGAATTTTTTCTTCCCATACAATAAATTATAAAAAAGTAAATCAAATTATTAAATAAAATTATTATTAAATAAAAATTAATTAAAATTAGCTTTAAAAAAAATTAGTCAATTTTGTTCATTTCGTACGAAAAATATTTGATTTGAACAACTTCGGCTATTCCGAATTTTTTCGTCCCATACAATGAAATGATCCCTTTATCAAACTAAGTCGATTAGCACTAAAAAAAATTTTGATAAATTTTATTCATTTTTATGGACAACTAGACCAAAAAATTGACTATGAGAAAATTGTTTTCACAAAAAAAGGACTTCATGGTTCCTAAGACAGTTTCCTTGTATCTTCTATGGTTTTGGATTTCCCCATACCAGAGAACAAAACGTAAAGTAAAGAGAACGGACAATCTCCGCCCCTCCCTAGCTTTAGATACCGCAACACGCCCCGCACATTGCCGGTCACAATTTGATATTTGAATAAAGTTTTCATTTATTCTTTACGAAACTTGTACGTTAATATAAAACATCATTTTACGTTACTATTTATAATGGTCGTGAATTATGCTGTGACTCATTCAGTTATAGTTTTCTTCATTTATTTACTGCAGAGTAATATACGTATGTGCAGATTTATTATATCAATATAATGAGGCGCCATGACTTCGTGAGCTAGTAGACAACGGTTCTCGAATTTGCAAATCATTTTGCCGATAAATAGTACGCAATTTCAAATATCTTGGTTACCTTATTTAAAGGTATGTACATGTCCAAAATATAACATTTTAAGTACTTTTAATATATTTTTAAAATAAATCTTCAATATTACTCTAGTTAGTGAATTAATGAAAAATATGATATTATATCGGTATAAATAGACATGTGTAATTATTAGGATTCTAGATTCTATTAATAGAATCATAGATAATAGATTCGCGTTAGCATTTTCGCTATATTGCCGCTCTGATAACGTAACGTAATACTGCAAGAAAGTGATGGGTAACCCTGCCACTTCACGCACACATTTGCGCGTGTGCAGATAGCGCTTTGCTGTATGTAGTAGTAGGTAAATAATTTTCGACCGTTGTATGGAGTGTCCGGGGTGTGCCCATAATGTACCATTTAAAAAAAACACCAAGTATAAATTTGGAAAATAAACAAAGTATGGCAATAAGTAGGATGTCATACGCCGTGTATGAATGCATTAAACCTTAAGACGCGTTCTACGACGCGGCGGTATATCTTTAGTATTTTTTTACAAATTGTTTACTAAGAATAATTGTAACTCACCTGGCTGCAGCAAGACAGGCCTAGAGAGTACCGTTCCAGCACGGTTGGAAGCTCTACACCGAAGTACAGCGCCGCTACTGCCTGTACCCGCGTCCAGCAGGGAGCGCCGCGCGCCCACTACCAGCCGACCATCGCTTAACACGTGTCTGAAAGGAAGACGTTACTTTTAATTTGTATTTTGTTAGTTGTGCTCTAGGGCACAGGTTTCCAAACTTTTTAACTAACCGCCAAAGATAAAAAAAATTCAATGCCCACCACCATAAATAAATAATTGAAAACACCTATTTGATTTATTAACCTAACACAAAAAAATCACAAGGTAAAACATTACATATTTGTAGTGTGGTTTATATAGATACGGTCTTTTTTCAAATACGATAGCACCCCCTGGACAGCTTCAACGCCTCCCAATCGCTTCCGAGGCCTTCCATACCTCCCCCCTAGAGCTTTACAGCGCCCACTGGGGGTGGGAGGGACCACTTTGGGAAACTATGATCTAGTGCTTTCGTCCCGGGAATTTCGATCTCGAACATTTTAAGAAAAATTTGACAGTTTTTTGGCATGTTCGAGACTCGAGAATGATATTTTCAGTCTCGGGAATATCCAGACTTGTGTGATTACAGTCACTTAATTAAAAGGTTAAAGTAGAAGTATAGACCGTATAGGGAGATACGAGTATGTAAGAGTGCCGATATTATTGCGCTTCAAGAAAGTTGGCTTTTTTCGGAAGACTTACCGTTCTTTGGTACGATAGACACGGATTTTGGGTTCTCGGGCGTATCTGCAATAGACACAACGGCTGGTATACTTAGAGGGAGACCCTATGTGGCGTGGCGTTGCTATGACGAAAGAGTGCGTTTGATGCGGTCAGCGTAGTGAACTGCAATAATGCGCGCGTTACGGCTATTAAAGCTACCACGCGCAACCGGTCTGCGCTCTTTTTCTCGGTGTACATGCCTACGAATTGCGTGGATAATTTACCTGACTTCACTCCGTGTCTCAGTGAAATCAGTGCAATAATTGAAAATTGTGATATCAAGTTTATTCTGGGTGATTATAATGAGCATCCAGGTGAATTGTTTTGGAATGAGCTAACTGATTTTTGTAATTGTCAAAATTGGGTCTGTGCATAGTGCGGACGCGGAGAAGTTGCATGCCGTCGTGCCGACACCCTACACGTGATGCACACGGTTGTACGAGGAGGTTAGATCACTGTGTGGTGTGGTTGTAAGGTTATATGGAGTGAGCGTGATGGCGTACAAACTGAGCAGTATAGAATCATCTGTAATGACCAAATTAATGATGTTAGTTTTCCAGAACGGCTCACTGAGTGCTCATTTGGAATGAGTAGCAACTTAGACCATAGAATAGTAATCGATGGCTTATACGAGAAGGTGGTCTGTATATTGCGAGGTGCGGATGAGGAATGCTACCGTGGGAGGGGCTGTGGTAAAAAGCAGCGTATCATTGGCTGGAATAAACATGTCAAAGATGCTCACTCGAAGGCGAGGCTAAGGTTTCTGGATTGCCTCGTGCCTCGTGAGCTGCCGGACCGCGGGTGGGTGCAAGTAACTTCCTATTATGGTGCCCCATATATTTTTCATCTATTTACTGCAGATGATGTGGTATCTATCATTAAGGGAACGATGAAGGGGAAGTCACCTGGGCATGATGGCGTGATGGAGCGTAGAGCATTTAAAAAATGCTGGTGAGCAATTGCCGGGGGTTTTGTCTCAATTATTTAATCATTCTTTAAGGCACTCGTACCTACCTAACGGTTTGATGCAGGCGTTGATGGTACCTCTTGTTAAGTACAAAACGGGGGATGTGTCTGACAAAAACAAGTACAGACCTATATCGTTGGCCACTATCATAGCAAAGGTACTGGACGGTTTGCTTGATCACATTTTAACTAAGCACCTGAAAATTCATGATGCGCAGTTCGGGTTTAGGCCTGGACTTTCTTCAGAGTCCGCTGTGCTTTGCCTCAAGCATATTGTTCGGTATTACACGGACAGAAGTACGCCTGTGTATGCGTGCTTCCTTGATCTGTCTAAGGCCTTCGATGTAGTCTCGTATGACGTGTTGTAGCATAAGCTGAGTTGTGAGACAAATCTCACGTTTGAGATTATTGGGCTTTTCGAGTTTTGATATCGAAACCAGATCAACAATGTTAAGTGGGCTGGGTCGCTATCGAAACCATACAGGTTGGGATGCGGGATGAGGCAGGGGGGGTTTAACGTCACCTCAGCTCTTCAACCTGTATGTAAAAGCATTGATTGGTGAGCTCAGCAGTACTAATGTTGGCTGCTCATTGGATGGCGTTATAGTTAACAATATCAATTATGCAGATGACATGGTGCTGCTGAGCCCATCTATATGTGACCTCCGTGAGCTACTTAAGATATGTGAAAACTATGCTGTTGCCCAAGGACTCGGTATAATACAAAGAAAAGTGAGCTTCTGCTTTAAGTGAACTCCACAAAGAAGAGTGCTTAAGTGGCGAGGTGGAGAAGTGGGCGTTGTAACGCCGGTCTCCCTTTGTGGCAGTGAACTTACTAGAGTTTTTAAATTTAAATACCTGGGTGACAGATAATCAGTCGGATCTGGTGGATATAGAGAGAGAACGGAGAACCCTTGCAGTCAGATGAAATATGCTCGCCCACAGGTTTGCACGTTGTAGTGGGGAGGTTAAATTGACGCTTTTTAAAGCATACTGTCAAACCTTCTACATGTGTAGCCTGTGGGTGAAATATAATAAGGTGACCCTAAATACTCTGAGGGTACAATATAACAACGCGTTTAGGATGTTGCTGGGGTTACCACGACACTGTAGCGCTTCAGGCATGTTCACTGAGACACGCACAGATGGCTTACATGCCATTCTGAGGAAGAGGGTTGCTTCACGTTGGCGACGTGTGCGTGGGTGCCCCAACAGCATTCTGAAAGTTGTGGCAGATAAAATTCACTGCCCCATCCAGACCCACTGGATGAAACTTCATGTGGCGGTTTAGTTTAAGTTTACATAAGTGTGTTAGATTAATTTCAATTTTATATGTAAACAATCTCAATTTTATATTTAATGTTGTAATTATTCGCGATTGTATGTTTTTTGAATTTTAATTTATTTTAAGATTATCTTATTTTATTTTAATTTTAGCATTTGAATAGCATCATACTAACCTTATTCCTAAGTTTTTTACTAATAAACTATGGATAATTGTTTTTGGTCCGAAATAAAGTAATATTATTATTAAAAATCTACTAGACACACAGTATTTTTTAATTCTTGTTACATGAATATGGCAACACTAGAGTGGAGCTTAGTATAATCCGTGGAGATTGAAGAACGGTAATAATAAAACCAGTATCTGTAACTTTACACGGTCTTTATTTTTTACGTAACAACTATATATACAACAACAACTATATTATAAAAAAAATACTTTTATAATTTGAGTTAAAGGCTTTGATTAAGATATCATGTTTTAACTGCCTAAATGTCTAGCCTATAAGTATTGAAACCTGTTTTTGAAGTGGTCTCGATATTTTTCCCCGGGGCGCGGAAATGCAGCAAGATTGAAAGCCTCAATGGACAAAACATTTATTATTAAATTACAGCATTACATAAAACAAGAAAAGGAAAGTTTCAATAAATAATGTACTCAAAAGGTTTCGGCTCATCACAATGATTCCAACTTTATAAACAAGCAAGCTGCGCGGGACAACGAACAATCGGGGGCACATCAATTGCAACAGTTGCACTGCAAATCCGCTACTATCACAGATGGAATAACGACGCTCTCAAGGTCGAACTGCAGTACCCAATGCGCCGCCGTCCACACAACAACAACTTACTTAAATAAAAAAAATTAAAAATCATTATTCTACAAGTACAAATTCAAATTTGGTTCATCACCGGAGCTATATCAAGAAAGGCACTGGAATCTATAGAAGATATATAGATTTTAAGGCTTTCGTGGTTATTCATTAAATGATTATCACTAATTTCGCGTTTCTTACCACGTTATTACTTTTTAAATTCCCGATTTTAGGAACGGTTGCATGTTCCATGGTCACGGGTTATGTGGTCGGTGACAATGACAGCTTTAAGAGCAGACATAGAAGCTAAGTAGATATGTCACGAGAGGGTAGACAGATATCAGTATCAGATAGTCAGCTCTTAAAGCTGTCATCTGCCGCCGTCCAGTCAACCCGTGACCATGGAGCGTGCAACCTTTCCGAAATATCGGGAAAATAAAAAGAAGTCATACCGTGGTAAGAAGCCTGAAATTAGTGATAATTATCTATAGCCGCTCACGCGATGCCCTTCTCCTACCGCAAAATGGCGGCTATTTGGTTTCGCAAATTAGAAAAGCATTCAGTTTAAATACAAGTTTTTATAAATAAAAATTATTATTCTGCATTGCTAAATAAATACCCTCCGTACTACCAACAAAAACATCTCAAATAAAATGCAGTAATACACCGCAAATCCTGCACTTAAAAAGCACTAATGAAATTTTTGGTGTACTTGGATAAATATGATAATATTCCGTTTGAGTGGTTCTAACGTTTACCATGAAATTACTCCTTAAAGTATAGTTTATAAATATTTATATTCAGGGTAAACTTAAAAAACGCTACTTACGGTATGTTTTCAATAAATAAACACCGAAATCACCAGCCCAAACAATAACACACACGATTGTCGTGACGTATTTTTGAAGTTGTTTATTCTTTTTGAATGACAGTCCCAGGCTTAGACTATGGAAAAAATCCATCCTCTAAGGTCCCAGGCATTAAAAACTTTATGGTTTGCTAGAGTAGTTACCGAAATAGCAATTAATATTAGTTCTTTTACCTGTTATAACTTTGATATCCGATAAATCGGTATAAAATCATCACCGGCACCTCTAGGTGTGGTATGCGTCTACGGCTGCATGTATCGCGTGAGCGGATAGAAGACGACTACTCCGCTATATATCTGTACTTAATCGCTATTACTTAAATAACGAAGGGACTCAAATGTATACTTTACTCAAACTCAAACCTAAATCTCAAATCTTTATTTTCTAGGTAAGAAAATTACACTTGGAATCGTCATATTGATTAAACTCTACTGCTCATTCGTAATGCAGATTTC